GGGCGAGGTACGGGGAGGGGGGGGGCAGGTACGAAACAGGGTGAGGGCATCGTACGAATGGAGTGGGTCGATCCCTTCCCTCCATCAGTGCGATCAATCCAATCCATACGTGCAATCGATCCCTTGTTCGATCCCACGGATGGAAGGGATCGATTGCACGAACGGATTGGATTGAACCCAGTGATGGAGGGCGAGGTGCAGGGAGCGGAGCCGACTACGAATCAGGCCGGGGTAAGGAGGACGATGGCGGAGGAGGCCATCTTTGGAAAGGGGGGAGGGGGGAGGGGGTGGAGAAGGGGGGGAGGACGGTGGGTGATGGACCTGTGATCAGCAGTGTATGACGAGAGCAGCATTTTGATCTCTTTGCAATCAAACTCGTCTTCTTCCCACTTTGTCATGCCTGCAAACAGCGGTACAGCAACTGGCGACATGCGCCCACACAGTACTCAAGATATCGTAACCAGATATGAGTTCTCTTCAACTGGCTATGGCGACGGGGCGCCCACACAACTCACTGTTCGCACTCTGGATCACCCTGGATGTCCCACACGCAACACTCAGTATCATACACGACACACACACACACTATGCTACAGCTATGGCAGCGCTAGCTGCCTCTACCCTATCGCTACACTACACTTCTCTGCCCACTTCGTCTTCGGGCGCACTACAGACCGCCTCGCACAAGCTGCTAAGGCAGCGCTTCCGCCTGGCATCCGCAGGAATGAATCCATGAATGGACGTAGCCTCTTGATTTATACTTCTGTGCTGCATTGGTCTGCCCTGTGTCCCTGGCCCATGGTGCACACAGTTCCCCCCGTGGTACTTGYTGGACTGGACTGGTACTTTCTAGACTCTCCCTTGACTGTATGACGACGACCCTGCTTTAGTCACACCACTTGCCCACTTGCCTGCACCACTTGACCACTTGCCTGCACCACTTGACCACTTGCCTGCACCACTTGACCACTTGCCAACCTTCTAGAAGGACTGCAGCTAGCCTTCTAGTCTATAGATCTACGGATCGAATCCTGGCTACCTATAGACCTACGACAGACCTACCTACCACTGGCGGTTCTACAGGTCGCAGGTTCAACTCTTCGAGTTGACGCAGGTATTGTACACAGGTAAGTTGGGGAACTAAGGATCGAGCCCTGGGATCTACCTCAGCTACCACGAATTGGTGAATACCGTTTCATCTTGGGTCATGAAGTCTTATATATTTCAGTAGACCGCTGCATGATCTACGCAGATTGATCGGATACTGGTGTGCAATGATGCAAATCTGCGGGTGTGTGTGTTCTTGTGTGTGTGTGTGTGTGTGTGTGTGTGTGTGTGTGTGTGTGTGAGAGAGAGAGAGAGAGAGAGAGAGAGAGAGAGAGGGCATCTGTTTGCGTGGTCGCGCGTGTGTGCGCACTCGTGAGCGCTTTCGCGTGCCTTTTCGGGAAGCAGGCACGAGTGTACTCACATCTGCCGTTACGATCATTGTATCTAACTGCGTTTGAAGGGGATGTTGGCCACCATAGTCGCTCTCTGGTAACGCCACATAGTGCAGGGGCGGGGAGGACAGAGAGGTGACACTGCTGCTGGACATAACAGGGCAGAGAGGTGACACTGCTGCTGGACATTACGGGGCAGATGGCCGATTGCTGAGGTGGGGCCGATGGCTTTGGATTATTGAGAGGGCATACTCGCATCAACAGTTTTCTGACTGTTACGGTCGACGGGCCGATTCGTTGATAGGTTATTGATTTAGCGGTACGGGCCGATTCGTTGGTAGGTTCATCCCCCTTCTGTTCGGTGATCCATAGAGGATAGGAAAACAAGGAGGGACGATTGACGAGACTGTGTTCAAGCTTTTTTTTTTTTTTCCCGTTCTTGTTCTCCCGCTACCCCCCCCCCCCCAGAAGAGGTCGACCCAGCGGGAGATCTCGCCATCGAATGGTAATTTGAATGAGAAGAAGAAAGAACTAGCATCAGCGAAGCGACGACCTTGAAATGATAAAAAAAAAAGATTTTTTGTTCATCTCATTGATTACTCCGTGATTCGAACTAGGGTTTGTATTTCAACAACTATTTGATCTGCACACACACACACACACACACACACACACACACAGAGAGAGAGAGAGAGAGAGAGAGAGAGAGAGAGAGAGAGAGAGAGAGAGAGAGAGACGGCGTGCTGAGTAGTGTTACGTGCCGTCGGTGGCGAGCAGTTAGTTCAGCTTTTACGGCTTCTTCATCTGGTGTGTTCTTTTGGAGCTTTCGACGTGTAAGTAGAGATTGCAAGGAGGGCATTTTGCTTACCTTCGGGAAGGTCGGGTACATTTTGGGTTCCGCAGGAATGGCGAGCAGGCACCAAGACATGCTTTTCGGGTCCCGCTTGACCGACCTGCTAAGTTCCGATAGTCCTCTGCACGTGGATGACTCATTCTCAGGTGCAGGCTCTCAAATGCCATGTCATACAACTTCGGATGACTCGAGCTGAATGGGAGAGGACCTCTTTAGTCCTCCACGACCAGCAATGCCGGCGCAGTTTTCAACACCGGCACGGGGAGACAGAGTGAGCAATCGTGGGCATGTGAATGGAGGTTTGGAGACCCCAAATTCATATTTGCCTTACACAGGTGGCCATGGCCCGAACATAGCGAGCTGGGTCATGATGCAATCTCCAGTGTCCCGCAGCCCACCGACCTGCGGTGGCCATGCGAGCAGATGCCCGCTACCTTCAATGGCTGGCATGGACGAGGGAGTTGTGGGTACTTCTACAGAAGCACGGGACAACCAAACAGACAAGGACAATGCAAGTCATCACGGCGGCCAGCAGGAGCCCATTGGCTGGGAGCACGAAGTGGATGCAGAAGCACCTCATACGGGAGATGCATGCACTGCTGCGCGTGGGAGTAAAGGTGGTAAGAAGAGTCGTGGCTCTACTTGGGACAGAGCCCTGACAACTGCACTCTGCGAAGCCTTGCGAAATGAAGCTGCCAAAATTGCTCTCGACCCAGAATGGGGCAAATTTGACACTTGGCAAGTTCGGTTTCAGTATATTGCGGATGATGTCAAGAAGTATAGCGGCAGGGGGGACAAAGATGGGAAGTCCTGCAAGACGAAATGGCGGGAGCTATCACGTCAGTACCGGAAGATTTTCGACCGGAAGAATAGGTCAGGGGAGGAGTGCTACTGGTCAATGTCAGGTGAACGGCGCGAGGAGCTCAGCCTCCCTGTAAACTTTGACAAGGATAATTACGACATCCTTGACTCGTTCATGAAGAAAAAAAAGTCTGTGGCAGGTAGGCGAGTTATTGATTCTGACCAACCACATGAGTTCGGTCAACGATCTGCGGCGGGAGGAGACACAGTCCAATCTGCATCAAGGGGAGGAGACACAGTCCCTTGGCCGCGGCCTGGACAAATTCCTACTAGTTGTTCCTCTATGGGTCGACGTGGCAGGGAGGACTCGGATGATGGACCGAGGAAGCGTGTGTCGAATTCCAAAGGGATGCTGGAGTTGTCAAAAGCTCTTGCCAGCAACACATATCGTATAGCAGAGGGTGTTGAGAAGCAGGCCAGCGATGGTGAGAGACAAGTGAAAGTGTTGGAGAAGATGGTGGAGCTCGATGAACGCCGCTTGGACATGGAAAATCGTCGCCTGGAGATTGAAGACCGGGGTGCTGATGCAGACATAGCAAACACTGGGAGGTTGATTGATGTGTTCGCTAAGTTGGCAGAAAAGCTTTGGTACGTGTGTGTGTGTGTGTGTGTGTGTGTGCGAGAGAGAGAGAGAGAGATAGAGAGAGAGAGAGACAGAGAGAGAGAGACAGAGAGAGAGAGAGAGAGAGAGAGAGAGAGAGAGAGAGAGAGAGAGAGAGAGAGAGAGAGAGAGA